ATCACTGGAGAGCCGAGGCTCTTTTGCACATAGCTGAATCATGATGGGGCTCAAGTAAGTATTGGGGGGGGGGGGGGTGCTGCAGCACAAATAAGATTTTTTACCTTCATGCATGATTTAAAAAATCTTTTATCCTTTACAACCACTTTAACATGTTTGTTTTATTCTAAAGTTTTTTTTCTTAGACTCTGGGTATTTTATATGATCAATCAATAAAGCTGTATAATGGTTTAATAACTATAGGTAGATGACTATATAAGCCTTTTTAAAATTTTTCGTAAGTATTCCTTACAATTATTATTGATATGATTCTACTCTCTGAGATAAATGTGCAAATATAGTGTAACAAATGATTAGGTCTGGATAGTTGTCTGTAAAAATAATTGTATTACTACTAATTGTGCTTAAAAAACATTGCTGTTTTATGACTGGGGATATGAACTTCACCTTAGTGGTTCCTAACATTTTTAACAGCTTCTTTTATGTAATATCCATATTATGTAATACATATTTAATAAGTGCCAATGCTGTGTACAAAATGCAGGAAACAATGTTACTCAATAGTAATTACTCCTTTTGGTTATAAGATATGTGAAAAACGCCCTATCTACCCACCTAATCTATCATTTTTTTATGTGCTGCTGCTACCACTTATTATGTGTTCCCACATCCAAGAGCATATTATTTTTGTTATGACTCCAGTAAACGGAAATCTGATTGGTTATTATTGATTACTGTGCTTTAAACAAACTTCCTCATATGTGTCTTATCTTATTACATAGACTCAAAATTACTTTCAAGAATTAATTTTGCAGCTGGCTCTATTGTTAAAAAATACATATTTTACTTTACATGTTATATTTATAGTGACTGACAGATAAATGAAGAAATCTGTAAATAATGTAAATGTATCAGTCAAAGATGCCACAGGAGAATCATTAATTTTGAAAATCAGTAATAATGCAAATTACATGCATTGAATAATCCAGCGGAATGGAATAACTTTGCATATTAATTTCATTTCGTTTCACATTTGAAAAATAATTAACTTACCTTCACAGGTAGGTAAGGAACCCTCAAACTGCAGCTGGATAATCAATTTACAGGTTATTATATCATTTCCTACTAAGGTAAACCCAGGATGGCACTTGTATTTTACAAAATCCCCTGTAAAGGAAGGGTTATATATTGAAACATATATTCACAAAACCGTCAACCGTCAGAATACTGTTATCTGAATAAGAAGTACACATTTAGAGAATACAGAAGATTATGTAGCACACATTGAACAGAACTATAGAAAATGAGGCAGAAACCTGAATTAAATATCAATAAAATTACTATAGTGCAATGAGAACATTCATGCTTAATTAGCTTAAGGTACAGTATCGATAAGATACATTTTCTCTCCTAAGTAATAAGCATAATGTGTCATTTAGCAAGATGTTAAGACCTATACCTGGCTCCAAAGACAAACCTTGCTCTTCACATGCAAGGGGAATAAATAAAAACTGTATCTTCACATTTTGCAATTCTAAGCAAATTAATTCATTCTGAAACAATTGGCTGTTTTAGACAGCATAAGGAAAACAGCAAAAGTTTCAGCAATCTATAGAATTTACACACAAATGATCTAACTGTACTAACAGAGCTAACATTTTACATTATATTTTGCAATGTAAATCCAATGACAGAAACATCAAATAATAGTGACAGGATAAAACTTGTTCTAGTTATATCACAGGTATCAAATGCCAGTCAAATTTGTTCTCTGTAAAATAACGTTTTTTGATCAAAATTTGTTATGGAAAACATGCAACGACATGAACGTTCTTCTCTTTTGAAGTTGTGGGAAGCAAGGACTACCTTTTAGGTCCTAAGGAGAAGGGGTACAGGTAAAGGGGGATTTAGAAATATTCTTATAGGTAAAGACATTTTTAACACAAAGCTCAACTTCAGCCAAAACTTTTATTTTAGTTTGGACAGAGTGCAAAATGGATAGAACCTCATTAGGTTTTTATTGCTGCCTGTGTCCCAATTCAGGAGGTCCCCCCCTCACTTCCTGTTGGGACAAGGCTGCCAGAGGGACATGAAGTGACACCCATTTCTCTCTCAAAAAAAGTGCTGGGCAGGCTTGCTACATGTTACAGACGTGGAACCAACACTGTTGCTGTTCAGCTTCTGTAACTATGTATCCTTCTGTCTTTCTCTGTCATTGTTTACATTGGCTATTGATTTATGGGTATATGTTTTATATGAAATTTTGTCCTTAATCGCAGCGCTTTAAAACGACAACCAACAATTGTGCAAAATACTGAATTATTAAATATATAATATCCCATGTAATGGCACTTTAAATAAAAGTGTCAACCAATTAATAACATTCTTCAATTGCTGCTTGCAACTAACCTTTATCTTGTTCAATACAGTTCAAAAAGTGCACCATGCAAACTGTGAAAACCAAATGCTGTTAGTTATAAAGTGTCCTTCAAAAAGTGCTCCCGTGTTCATCAGTGAGCCACCACTGTATGCAAAAACTCACCAAATATGTGGTGTGGCTCACTGCTAAACACAGGAGCACTTTTTTTTAGGTATTTAGTTAATAATTGCAGTCACTGAGTGCAGGTGTTAATAGGTATTTTTATGTCTTATATGGTTATTAAGAGTATATTCACACTATAGCAGAGAGCTGTGTTTTTCTGCATAAGAAAAACACAGCTTTCTGCAAAGGAACACAGAAAACAATGCTTTTCTTTGTGCCCTGTTCACACTTCCCCATAGCTGTGCCCTGCAGTGCAGAGTGATGCAGAAATTTGCAAACACTTTTGCAGTTTTCCACACTGCACCACAGCAGGTGAAATCTGACAGTCGGGGGTGATTGGTGTGGTGGGGGGAGCAATTACAAGTATTGATCTCCCCGCATGGCTCCCTGTGCAGCAGCTGAAAGCCGCTTCTCCTTTCAGCTGCTTCATGGAAGGCCATACAAGGAGATCATTTTTTGTAGATGCCCCCCGCTGCGCCAACCACCCCTGTCAGATTCCCCCTGCTGCCCAGACCTGCGGTGTGCTCCCCTGGCCCCCCCTGGGCTCCCCGCAGCACTGTCGACTTCCCTCTCCACCTTTTCCACCAGCTGTTGTGGGGGATGTGTCAGGATGGAGAGCGGGGAAAGGGGTCGGTAAGTATTTTATTTACTAACACTATCCTTGTCTAAATTAACTGAATGAGTGATCCATACAAATGTGTTTACTATACTTCAGTCGCTGTCTCCTGTTCATTCACTTGCAGAGCAGCTGAGGCTACAGAGAAAGGGACTGGGGGATGTTGAATGTCTTCAGTCCCTTTCTCTATCTCAAAAGTAACAATTCAAGTTTCTGTTTAGACCCTTAATATCTGACCAAGCCCTCAACAGGGTAGTTTATAAAAAATTAAAAAATAAATAAATAAATTATATTTAAAAAAAAGAAAAATTACATTGTAAAAAATAATAAAAGATAAAGTAATAAAAATAAAAAACCACTGACACTGTCCACTGCTCTACTGACACCGAACATTGCCCTACTAACACCCTCCACTGCTCCCTCCCCAAAAAAACATAGTGGAAAAAAAATGGAAACATTAAAAAATTGCAACAAATAATACAAAATTGTAAAAAAAAAATAAAAACAAAAAATAAAACAATATAAATAGAAAACTACTGACACCATCCACTGTGCCACTGACACCATCCACTGCCCCCTCCCTCCAAAAAAACCTGTGAAAAATGTAAAAAAAAAACATTAAGAAATGTAAAATATTTTAAAAATATAAAAAACTAATAAAAAACAGCTTATTCACATGGGTTCTCTTATGCATGTAGTGTGAATGAGCAGATTGTTTTTGTGGCTGGATTCACCTGTTAATCTAAGGGGATGCAGCAGTTGTACGAAACACAGCTGCAGATCCTAATTTGACGGGTGTGTAGGTGCAGTTTTTTGGCCCCAAATGCACACTGTCTGTGTTTGGGGCTGAACACATGCATCCACATGTCTGTGAAATTAGGACCTGTGACTGTGTACATACAGTTGCTGCATCACCATAGCGTAACATAGACTCCCCGAACACAGCTCCAGTTACTTTAAAAAATAAAAAAAACTGGTTCACACTGTATAGGCCATAGCACTTATGTGAATAAGCCCCAAGGCCTCATTCACATACACAGCTTTATTTATTAACTCAATACATCTTTATCTTTTAGATTTAGTAGGAATTGTGTAAGTTATGTTGTGTTTGTGTCTTCTAATAATGATTGATGGTGATGTAGCTGGGGGAAATGTTGTGGATGGCTTTGTACATTGTGACAGAAATTTTCTTATTAGCAGACTAAAGCCAGCCATACATGGATCAAAATTTGACCAGTTCAGTAAGGAAATTTTCAATTCATTTATGGTTGCACAGATGTCAATCTACTGATTGACTTGTGTACAACCAGTCTCTTCTGTTCAGTCAGTGCTACCGGCTAAAGCCAAAAGTTTCAGTTGAAGTCTCCTGGCCTTCAGAACACAATAGCTCAGTAGGGGTAACCCACTGTTTAAATGAAAGAAAAAAAAATGAATAATCTCTGGACTGCCTAAACAGAAACTAATGCAGCCACCACATCTAAGGACTGGTAAGCTGCAATATATTACATTTTTGGTCTTGGATTTAGATGCATTTCAATGCCTTAGAATCACACAAGGCTCATCGGATGAATATGCAGATGACAGACTCAGATTTTCAAAGTCAAGGCACTAATTGCCTCCCATGAATTCTTCATTGCAATACCAGCAAAGAATCTTGCAATGCATGTATGGGGGGCAAGAGCTCCAAATGGATTTTTTCTCCTGGAGCACTTAACACAATAGATAAATATGTGCAGGGACTGCAGAGATCTCTTTTTTCCCACACATTTTTAAATTGCATATATATATAAACATATGTATAAATGTATGTATAAAAACAATTACAATATAATTCATGATACCTATTTCAAAGTCATCGCTGTCAGAAATGAAGTCAGCATCTGGCACAGGTACTGGTGGTTGGCATTTCTTAAGTGCATATGCTGCAAAGATAAGCATATACCCATATGTTAAAATGAAATGGAATTATGGTGTATTTTATGTTATTGTTAAATATGAAATTTTCTTGTATACATAAGGTATACAGTGGAGTTGGTTTACTAAAGGCAAATAGACTGTGCACTTTACAAGCAAGGGAATTAGCTCTGGAATTTTAAGGGGGAGGGAGATCTGCTGATGTCCATCAGCCAATCATGTGCAAGAAAATTCAATTTTTTTTAATTTTCCTTGCATGTAATAGTGTATTCTTTGTTAAGTGAGGCTTTACATCATTTTCTAAGCTCTGGAGAAAATTCCCTTGCAACTGGAGTTGCAAACTGCACATTCTATTTGACTTTAGTATTTTGTGAATATTGAGGGTTTTTTTTTAAATCAGATAACATTTATTAAAGAATTTTACACAGTACAAGAAAGTTACACAACAAAGAGGATAAGATATGTCAAATGTCACAAAGCTGAGTGTATTCTTACAACATATCAGTTACAGTTACACAACATATCCAATACTTCAACAATCATGTTTTAGAACTGAGTGACTTAATATATATACCTCAAAAAGGAAACAGGGTAATGAGGGAGAGAAGTAAAAAGAAAAGAAAAAGGAAGAAGGCAAGGAAAAGAAGTACGATAAGGGAAAATACCAGATGAAGAAGAAAAACGTACAAAAAGTAGCCACCAGTTGGCATCGCATATTGAGCATGCATAATATTTGGGGTAACTTAAAGGAACTAAAGTAGCCCTTAAGCAATGTATATCTATTCCGTACTATCTGCACTGGTGCCATGCTATGAATAGCCAAGCAGGCTCCCCACAATTTTTCAAATTTCTTCGAGCAACCCTATTTTTGGTAGGTTAATTTTTCTGATCCAATGAGCAACCATGGGAGGGGAAGATGATAGCCATATCATAGCCAAAGCTAGCCAGAAATAATAAACACCAGGATATTAGATCCACAATATCTTCCCAGTATCTAAACAATTTGGGGCAGTGCCACATTATATGCATCAGATCCCTAGTATTTCACAGACATCTGGAGCAGAAATGATAGACCCTACGGCCATATTTATGTAGCCTTTTGGCTGTCTGATATGTCCTATGTATAGTATATCTTCTAGAACTGGAAAGAGAAGCAGAGGGAACCATTTGTAGAACAAACTCCACTGTTCATTAGATATTGTACCCACATCCTGTTCCCACTCAGACCTGCAGGTACTAAGTGTAAATGGTAATTAAGTAAACTCAAATAAACATTACAGATATTCCCCTTTTAAATGATGCTTTAGACACAGTATTAAATACTGTTAGTCTATAAAGTATAATTTGGTCTTGTTTATGTAGGGTTGGATTGCGTGCTGAAATTGGAGATACTGGTAGAAGCAAACCCTAGAAAGACTAAATTCCTCCAGCAGTTGTTGAAAACAACTTTAACAGTTTCTTCTTAAATACTTGATAAACACATGTTATGCCCTGTTTTTTCCACTGTTCAAACTGTACATAATTTGACTATTTCAGGGACAGCCCTATTGTCCCATAGAGTGGTATACACAGAATAACCTCCATATTGTAACATGGATTTAAATTAATCTCAAACTTGTTGTAGCATCAGTAAACTATGTAAGGAATTAAAGTTGCTCAACTGTCTGGACCCTAACTGTGATATCAGTGATGTCGGGCCTAGGATCTGTCCTGTTATAATATATCTGGGATCCACTACTGGAGTGTTAAGATGACTAAAAGGAGTTGGACTATTGTGCCAATTAAAAGAAGTACAAATTAGGGAGTGCAAGGCCTCCTTCATTCAGGGTCTTTGCAGTGTCTCCAGCCTAATCCTAGAGGGACCTGGTTTTCAAACCAGTTCAAGGATCAGGGAGTCAAGGATATGTGCCAGTGTTTTGTTATCCATATTGGTGCAATTTGCCAAAAATAAAGGATCTGTGGGAGTCAAATAAATTTTAACCAGGTTAATGCAGCTAAACACAGAAGGCGGCACCAAATCTTGCATTTCAAATTGATTTTAGAAATCAATGGTAGCAGATTTATAGTGAGGTACTCTTTTAATCAGGACAAGAGGTTGATACCAAGGTATCAAAATGTGTCAACTTTTTTTAGTGGAGCTGCAATATGAGGCAACTACGACTTAATAGGGTTTAAGGGTATTAAAGTAGATTTGTCTCAATTTATTTCCAACCCTGAAAAGGGAGCCACATTTATTGATAATCTTAATTAGATTCAATAATTAAGGCTGGGGTCTCAGAGAAAAAAAAAAAGTATCATCAACATAGAGAACAAGCTTCTTTAGGGGGAATGTTGGAAACCAACTATATCAGTAGATACTTATACCACCATTGCCTTCAGTTCCTTTGCAAGATTAAAAAGGAGGGACAACAGGGGGCATCCCTGCCTACTGTCTCTAGAGGCATATAAAAATGGGAGCATTGTTAATTGACACCAACCTGTGCCACACAGCATAGAAAAGTTGAATCCAAGTTGAAAAATAGGCCCAATACCAAAATGAGGCAGCACCTCCCACAGGTAAGATCAATACTGTCGAAAACTTAAGGATAGTATTACTCTATCATCTAATACAGCTAACTGATGGTAATTGTTCAGAACAGTGTTTCTCAACCTTATTTCAGTGAAGGCACCCTTTAAAATTATAGACAATTGCAAGGCACCCTCTAAAATTATGGACTAGTTCCAAGGCACCCTTTAAAATTATGGACAGTCTTGAGGCACCCCATTCTAAAATGTAAAAAACTATTATAATTATTTATTTATTTATTTATTTATCGAGTTTATATAGCGCCAAAGGGTTTGCTCAGCGCTGTACAATAGAGGGGGGACAATACATGAAACAGTACAGTAACATCAAACAGCACACAAGGGGTAAGAGGGCCCTACTCTTTCGAGCTTACAATCTAGGAGGGAGGGGGTAGAGGTACAGGAGGAAATGGCTGTGGGGGATGGAGTGGAAGGAGGAGGGAAGGGCAGCGGCTGTTAGGTGAGGGTGGGGTAGGCTTCCCTGAAGAGGTGGGTTTTCAGGGAGCGCCTGAAGGTGAGGAGGGAAGGTGACAGTCTGATGGGTTGGGGGGTAGTGAGTTCCAGAGGATGGGGGAGGACCTGGAGAAGTCTTGCAGTCGTGCGTGGGAGGAGGAGACCAGGGAGCAAGATAGAAGGAGGTCCTGTGAAGAGCGAAGGGTACGGGTAGGGTGGTATCTGGGAATCAGGTCGGTGAGGTAGTTAGGGGCAGTGTTGTGAATGGCTTTATAGGTCAGAGTGAGCAGTTTGAATTTAATGCGTTGGGCAATGGGGAGCCAGTGGAGGGAGAGGCAGAGGGGGGGGTGGCAGAGGTGGAGCGGCTGGTGAGGTGGATGAGTCTGGCAGCTGAGTTCAGGATGGTCTGAAGCGGGGTGAGTTTGCACTGGGGTAGGCCGGTGAGGAGGGAGTTGCAGTAGTCAAGGCGTGAGATAATCAGGGAGTGAACGAGTAGTTTAGTGGTGTCTGGGGTAAGGAAGGAGCGTATCTTGGAGATGTTCCGGAGGTGGAGCCTGCATGAGTTTGTGAGAGATTTGATATGAGGTTGAAAGGAAAGGTTTGAGTCCAGAATGACGCCAAGGACCTTGGCTTGCGGGGCGGGATTGATGGTGGTGTGTTGTTGGTAGTGATGGAAAGGATGGGGGGGGGGCACGGGAAGGGGGAAAGACGAGAAGCTCGGTTTTGGAGAGGTTGAGTTTGAGGAAATGGAGCGACATCCAGTCAGAGATGTCGTTTAGGAGGTGAGTGATGCGGGCGGAGAATGTGGGGGTGAGGTGAGGGGTGGATAGGTAGATTTGAGTATCATCAGCATAGAGGTGGTAGTTGAAGCCGTGGGAGTGTATGAGTTTGCCAAGGGAGGAGGTGTAGATGGAGAAGAGAGGGGTCCAAGGACAGAGCCCTGGGGGACCCCAACAGAGAGGGGGAGGGAAGAGGAGGTGGCGCCGTTGTAGCAAACGCTGAAGGAGCGTTGGGATAGGTAGGAGGAGAACCAGGAGAGAGCGGTGTCTCTGATGCCAAGGGAGAGTAGTTTATTAAGGAGGAGGGGGTGGTCGACTGTGTCAAAGGCCGCAGAGAGGTCTAGGAGAAGGAGGACAGAGTAGTCGCCTTTGGCTTTGGCGGTTAGTAGATCGTTGGTGATTTTGAGGAGGGCAGTTTCGGTGGAGTGTAGGGGACGGAAGCCGGACTGTAGTGGGTCAAGGAGGTTGTTGTCAGTTAGGTGGGCGCTTAGGCGATCGTAGACCAAGCGCTCAAGGAGCTTGGACGTGAGTGGCAGTAGGGAAATTGGTCTGAGGTTGTTGAGGTCAGTGGAGTCCAGGGAGGGCTTTTTGAGTATGGGGGTGATGTGTGCGCATGTTTTAGGGGGGAGGGGAAGATGCCAGTAGCGAGGGAGAGATTGAAGATGTGGGTAAGGGAGCGGATGAGGGAAGAGGGGGGTGACCGGAGGAGTTGAGAGGGGATAGGGTCCAGGGGGCAGGTAGTGAGGCGGGCTTCTGAGAAGACTCTGGTGACTTCCTCAGTGGTAGTAGGGCTGAAGGAGTGCAGTGATGGGGGGGTTACGGTAGGCAGGGCCTTGGGTGTGGTGGGGGGCAGTGCCGTTGCAAGGTCAGAGGAGGGGAGAGATGAGAGGGTGATGGAAGGGGGGAGGCTAGATGGGGAGGTAGACTGCAAGTTGACTATGTCCTTGCGGATTGCGTCAATCTTGCTATGGAGATGAGTGGCAATCTCGTGGGCGGTAAGTGAGGTACTGAGTGGAGGAGGGGGGGGGGAGAGAGCAGGGAGTTGAAGGTGGAGAAGAGTCGGCGAGGGCAGTTATAATAGTTTTTTATATAAAGCAACATCCACACATGGACACCCAATGCTAGAGGTGATTTATTCTTCCAAATCAAATACATGTTCGCACACTGGTTCTGACTAGTATTACAGTGTTTTCTCTCAGTTTTTCTCCATCACTGAGCTAATGTGATGCCAGCACTGTTGGAGAAGGGCAGGGGAGGGTCAAACAAAGATGATGTGTTGGCAACTGACATCCTCCTTATCAATTGATAATGTAATTAGTTTTCAGAACTCCGGTGGCTAGAATATCGTAACGGCGCACAATGAAAACCTGTTGCTTTGTGTAACTAAAAGTCAAGCTTCTTCCACCCTCTGGCCTGTATACAAGTTTTGTGAAACATTTAGACATTATGCCAAGGCACCCCAGAAGACACCTCAAGGCACCCCAGGTTCCCTGGACACCCTGGTTGAGAAAGGCTGGTTTAGAAACACTATGCATATTTTTAGAAGTAGATTGGCCTTGTATAAAGCCACATTAGTCTACATGAACTAGCTTGGTCATATGGCAAATATTGAATACATAATGTTAAATGGGCAGTCTAGGATGTTTAAAATTTAAATGATGTTACACATATGTGCAGGCTTGAAAATCAGAGGTGGGTGGATTTTAACACTCATTTGTTTTCAAAAGAGATTGCAACTACTAGGGATAAATGACAAGATTGTGACCAAGATTAAAATACCCACCTGTATTTCAATGTTATCTTTCAATTTCATTTCCTTAATATTCCAATCGTCCACTCAGATCTAAGGTTGTCTTGGATTATGATAAGGTCGAGCACATGTTTAATAATGAGAATGTGCCTGCTCTATACTACACTGATCAAAATAATTAAAGGAACACTTTGAAAACACATCAGATCTCATGCTGGATATCTATACTGATATGGACTGGGTAATGTGTTAGGAATGTAAGGATGTCCCATCGTTTGATGGAAATTAAAATTATTAACCTACAGAGGACTGAATTCAAAGACACTCCAAAAATCACAGTTAAAAAATTATGCAGTGGGCTAGTCCATTTTGCTGAAATTTAATTTCAGCAACTCAAAATGATACTCAGTAATTTGTATGGCCCCCACGTGCTTGTATGCATACCTGGCAGTGTCGGGGCATGCTCCTAATGAGATGACGGATGGTGTACTGGGGCATTTCCTCCCAGATATAGACCAGGGCATCAGTGAGCGCCTGGATAGTCTGAGGTGTAACTTGATGGTGTCAGATGGACTGAAACATGATATCCCAGAGGTGTTCTATTGGATTTAGGTCAGGCGAGCGTAGGGGCCATTCAATGGTATCAGTTCCTTTATCCTCCAAGAACTGCCTGCATACTCTCGCCACATGAGGCTGGGCATTGTCGTGCACCAAGAGGAACCCAGGACCCACTGCACCAGCATAGGGTCTGACAATGGGTCCAAGGATTTCATCCCAATACCTAATGGCAGTCAGGGGGCCATTGTCTAGCCTGTAGAGGTCTGTGCGTCTCTCTCCATGGAGACACCTCCCCAGACCATCACTGACCCACCACCAAAACAGCCATTCTGAATGATGTTACAGGCAGCATAATGTTCTCCATGGCTTCTTCAGTACCTTTCATGTCTGTCACATGTGCTCAGGATGAACCTGCTCTCATCTGTGAAAAGAAAATGGTGCTAGTGGTGAACCTGCCAATTCTGGTGTTCAATGGCAAATACCAATCGAGCTCAGTGGTGCCGGGAAGTGAGCACAGGGCCCATTAGAGGATGTCGGGCCCTGACACCACCCTCATGAAGTCTTTTTCTGATTGTTTGGTCAGAAACATTCACATCAGTGGCCTTATGGAGGTCATTTTGTAGGGCTGTGGCAGTGCTCATCCTGTTTTCCCTTGCACAAAGGAGCAGATACCAGTCCTGCTATGGACCTTCTATGGCCCCGTCCAGCTTTCCAAGAGTAACTGCCTTCCTCCTGGAATCTACTTCATGCTCTTGAGACTGGTAGACACAGCAAACCTTCTGGCAATGACATATATTGTTGTGCCATCCTAAAGGAGTTGGACTGCCTGTGCGGCCTCTATAGGATCCAGGTATCACCTCATGCTATCAGTAGTGGCACTGACCCTAGCCAAATGAAAAACTAGTATAAAAACAGTCAGAAAAGATGAGTAGGGAAAAAAATGCCAGTGACCTCCACCTGTAAAACCATTCCTGTTTTGGCGGTCGTCTCATTGTTGCCCATCTAGTGCACCGGTTGTTAATTTCATTAACACTAAAGTAGATGAAACTGATTAACAACCCCCTCTGCTACTTAACTGACCAGATCATTACTCCAAGAGTTAATTGACTTGATGCTATATTCTGATTAAAAAGTGTTCCTTTAATTTTTTTGAGCAGTGTACATGAGGCTGATTTGAACCCTTGGTCAGTGGGCTTATCTCAATTTGATGTAGTTAAAGCATAACACTGTTACAACTGGAATGCTTTTGCCACTTAATTAAAAATATAGGAGGAAAATACACTCAGGAAACAGTGCTAAAAGCTAAACAAGGTAATACACTAAGCATATATAGGACAATTGTGAAAACTATAGACTGCAGTCAGTATACATATACAGAACATATATCCATAAACTTACCATGAAAATTCAAAACAAAGAAACCCTCAGTTGAAAAGTCACTGTGAAACTTAATGAGTACTTGATTAGATGAACTATATGCTGTTTCAAGGGCTGTATTTCCACTAAAAACACCAAGCTGAGGAGAATTCTGGTCAATCCCATCCCTAAAAATATATATAAAAAAAAAACATAAATGACCAGTAAAAACTATTAATTTAAAAGTAACAATATATCTACAAAATGAGTAGGGACTGTCCACTTTAAAAGGTGAACTTTGCAAAGGAATTTTCACTTAGCATAGAGAATGTGGTGAAAGTTCATTTTGCAAAGTATATTCATCCACAGGCATGAACCATAAATAAAAAAAAACAGTCATTTTACTTGCATATGACTGGGTAAATGAAGTCAGAAGCTTTCATCTCATTCTCTGAGCTAAAATAAAATCCCTTGTAAAATGACGATTTACTAAAGGCAAATAGGTTGTTTGCTTTGAAACGGAATTTCACTTTACAGGTGAATTTTCTCTTAGCTGAATGAATAAGATGAAGCTCTGCTGACTTCTGTTATCCAACAGCATGCAAGCAAAAATGCTGCTTTTTTAAATTATCCTTGCATGTGATTGGGTATTCTTTGAACAGGGAATTTTCACTACAGTCACTAAACCAAGGAAAAATTCCCTTGCAAAGTGATAATTTCCTTGCAAAGTGAACACCATATTTGCCCTAATAAATCAACCCCAATACAACCTTGCATATGCATGTTAAAGTGACAGCATCTCTGGAAAAAATTCCTTGCAAAGCAATAATTCACTTTTCAGCAAGCAGACTATTTGATTTAGTATATCAACCTAGCATACTTAAAAGTTCCATATGTAAATTATTTAAAGAAGTTGTTAAACTTTGTAACCTATGCAAATGTACAAGTAGATGTAATTTTTTTAAAACATTTGACCACTTACAAGGCATGAGTATAATAGCTGACACTATACCTTGTACTAAAATTGTGATAAAGGAAGAACAGTCCAAGAGTTAAATGATTTCAAACAATCCCTTGCTAATCTCTGATGTACTTGAGTTCATATAACAAAAGGACGAGGATGCTGTTGAAATTCAGACATTGCTTTCTATAAAGGCACGATAAAATAAATGTTTGATGCTGTCAAGGGTCTCCTGGGTGACAACTGGGGTTTTTTTTTTATTCCTATTGAGCTACTGCTTAAACCATAGTGGATAGTGTTTTTAAAGAATGCTGTTTCAACAATTTAGTACATTTACAATAGTAAAAGTTTAAATTTAAAAAAAAACTAACATTATTTTGCAATGCCTGGTATCAAAGCTGCAGACCATATACTGTATGTAAAGTATGTATTCTCAAAATTTAGGATAAGCCAAATTAAAATGTATTGCTTGCTAAAAAAAAAGAGTACTGCAGCTATTCATATAGCCTAATTTTTCCAGCAGGCTATGTTCAATGATATGGTAATGAGCTTGTCACCAATAACCAATGTGACCAATAGATATTAAAATTAACCCTGGATTCAAGTTCATGAAAGTGATTTAACTATCTTGTTTAAACTAAAATGTTCTTTCAAAGTAAGAAGCTAAGTAGCTAAGAGAAATACCTTTAAGGGCTAACTGTCATGTCAATCATACTAAAGTTTAAAGGTACAGAAACAGTTTTTTTTTTTCCGCCTAAAGAAAAGGAGAAGAGAGGAGTAACAATCAACGTTAAGAATGGTCCCTGTGCCTTTAAAGCTTGCTATGATTTTCTCTGTAGTTAGCCTCAAATGATATTGCCCTTAGTTGCTTTTGTTATTTAGACAAAAGGTGTTTCGGAATCCAGATCTTTGTTCCACAGCTAAGAAGGTATGTTCTTAGGCCATTGATGTCTAACAAAAATAAAGCATTGCACATTCTCTAGAGATTCGTCATTAGAAGCGGTGGGGGTAATTGTATCCAATGAAGACACAAGTTTAAGGAGATTTCCTCCTGTTTTCTGTTGCTTCTTCAGGACAGGAGGTTAAGGGAAATCTCTTTACCAGGAAACAGAAAGCAGAAAATAACTTGAAAGATGTTTTAACTATTCCCCTCTCATGACCATCTAAGACTAAAACAATTGCCATTACATACTCTTTAAGACTTTTTCTAGTTTTTGTCTTTGATATATCCATGTTATGCAGTATATATGGAAAAAAGTTTCCAAACAATAAAATGGTCCTCCTGCCTAAGATCTTTTATGATTTCAGGATCATACCGATGAAAATGTAATTGCTTGTAAATAGTGATAAGCCAAACATACCTGAGTTTGGCAAATGTTACTAAAGTTTGAAAGAAAATTGAAGTCAGTGGGAGCTGAATGTTAAAAAATGGCAATGACCATTTTATAGGCTAATAGCCAATGGTTTATTAAACAAATGTCAAGGGGCTGAGAATGGCTTAGGAGACATGTACCAAGGCAACCAAAAATAATAAATTCCATTTTAATAATGCTTAAACTGAAACTTTAAAATGCTACATTTCATGAAATGATATACCTGGGGGATGCCTTGATTCTGCCTGTAAAATGGCACATATGTGCAATGTATACAACCTATTACAGCAAAGCTAACATTTACAAAGAAAAATGTTTCTTTAAATTGCTGTCAAAAATATAGCTCCCAGATGCTTTGTCCTGTTTATAAGCAAAGTGACCAGAGATTCCATTCATCTGTACCAGGCCCTTATCCTAGATCAGAGTCTACTATAGATGTTAATGGAACATCCCCACACCAAAAAAAGCATGCAACGTGTAGCATGAAATGCCAAGAAAGGGGGTGGATGGGTTTGTGCCCCCTTCCTTAACAATACCAGACCCCATGCCCTCAACATAGCTGTATACTTTACCAGGGGATCACTGTAATGTCATTGACCATATAAGATCATGTCCATATAAGGTCAATTACATAATTCGGGAGATCCTGTTCCTTAATTTTTATTAACTGTCATTCAGTAGGAGTGAAGCAATGGGGCCAGAAATTTGTAAGCAGGTGGCTTTTTTATTTATTTTGATGGGTCAGCAAGTGTTGGGCATCATGAGTGATATACTCAGTGTCATCACTGGATGACATGATTGTTGATGGATGCAAATCATGGAATTTTTTCACTAAATCTGTGTTAATTTTTTTTACTGTTGCAGAACAAAATGTAACCATCTACCACAGGCGCTTTTCTTTTAGACTGTGTCTTATAGTAAATCTCTGTGTGGAGTCCTCTGGAAGACGGCAATCGCGAACGTCAACTGAGTTTCAGAAACAGCACTATTTTTAGCAAGGCATATCTTTATGTATTCTAATTTGTTTTCCTTAGTTCTATTGATTCTATTTTTGTTCCTTATCTTTTATAATGATTTTCTGTAATGGTTTTACATGACATTCATTCATATTTCTGTACATTTTGCTCAAAATGTTGTGAATTTGATATATTATATTTTGAAGATCTAAATAATAAATATTATTCACAGCTGAATCTAAAAATAAAGATCAGCAATCCAAAACAAATGACGTGGGGTCCTGCCTCCCATTCATCCCAAGCCCTTCAGGTCTGGTTCGGATTTTGAGGGGAATCCCCACGCCAAAATTAATTTTAAAAATAGCATGGGATCCCACACTCCATCCATACACGACCCTTATCCGAGCATGCAGCCCAGCAGGTCAGGAAAGGGGGGGACAAGCGAGCGCTCCCCCTCCTGAACCATACCAGGCCACATGCCCTCAACATGGGGGGGTGCTTTGGGGCTTTTCTGATGCTTTGCCAGGTTCTAACTGCAGCTGTCTTCAGTTGTTCTTTGTGTGTGGCTCTTTCTGCCTTTAGTTTTGCCTTCAGCAAGTGAAATGCATGCTCAATGGGGTTGATATCAGGTGATTGACTCAGCCATTGCACCGTATTCCATTTCTTTTCCTTCAAAAGCTCCTGGGTTGCTTTTGTAGTGTGTTTGGATCATTTTCGATATGTACTGTGAAGCACCGTCCAATCAACTTTGCTGCATTTGGCTGAATCTGGGCTGACAGTATACAGTATCTCACTAACACTGCAGAATTTATCCGGCTGCTTCTGTCTTCTGTCACATCATCAATAAACACCATTGACCCAGTGCCACTGGAAGCCATGAATGTGCATGCCATCACACTGCCTCCCTCATGTTTTTCCAGAATTGGTCTGGCTTTTTTAGATGTTTTTTGGCAAAGTCTAATCTGGTTTTTCTATTCTTCAGGCTTATGAATGGTTTGCATCTTGTGGTGAACCCTCTGTATTTGCTCTTGTGAAGTCTTCTCTTGATTGTAGACTTTGACAATGATATGCCCACCTCCTGGAGAGTGTCTCACTTGTCTGGATGTTGTAAATGGATTTTTCTTTACCGTAGAGGATCCTGTGATCATCCACCACTGTTGTCTTCCGAGGACGTCCATGCCTTATTATGTTGCTGACCTCACCAGTGCGTTCTTCTTTCCTCAGAATGCACCAAACTGTTGATTTTGCCACTCCTAATGTTGCTGTTATCTCTCTGATGGATTTGTTTTGTATGTGAAGCCTTACAATGGCCTGTTTCACTTGCAAGGACAGCTCCTTTGAATGCATGATGCCAGTTCACAGCAGTAGATTCCAAATGCAAATACCACACTTAGAATCAACTCCAGACCTTTTACCTGCTTAATTGATGAAAAAAAATAATGAAGGAGTAGCCCAAACCTGGCCATGAAACAGCTTTTTATTCAATTGTCCAATTTCTTTTGGTGTCACAAGTTAGTCTGCAGTTTGTGTATTATTATCTCCTTGCTGCAGTGCTTCTCCGATTCCCTTCACATGTGTGGTTCTGTGCTCACCAATGGGCATCGCCAGCTATTCTCTGGATTTTCTTTCCTTCCCTTCCATCACTTCCTGGCCCGCCTCCTAGTTTGCTTGTTTATATAAGACATGATCGGTCTAGCCCACTTTGCCTGAGCAACTTCTTAGTTCTCTGAGCTCCTGTTTGTTGCTACTCCTGTATCCTGTATTTACACATGTACCGACCCCAGCTTTGTTCATTGACTGTGCTTGTTTTCTGCCTGTCCTGACCTTGGCTTGTCTATCGGATTTCCTGTTGTCTCCTGTTATTGTACTCTGCTCACGCGAGTGGTCTCCGCATCCTCAGCTGGGCGTACCTGGGGGCTGAAACCTGGTTCTAGCTTGCTGCAGGTCCATCCCCACCATCAGGTGCTTGGTGAAGAAGCAGGCTGGGACTTAGTATCCGCACCCTGGGGAACCCCGAGTTGGTGATCTACAAGGGCTCACTACCACAGGAGGTTGACATTTGGTCCCTTGAAAAAGGGGGTATGGCTACTCTTAAGAGCTGTAATTCCTAAACCCTTCCTCCAATTTGGATGTATATACTCTCAAATTAAACCTGAGAGTGTGCACTTTCAGCCCATACCCATTACATAACTATAGCTTGAATGTGTTTTTGTAAATACCTGAAAAAAAAAACAAAAATTGTGCCTGTGTCCAAATATATATGGACCGAACTGTATATTACATTTTGTTTCTGAGGTGTAGATAAACTGTACTTTAAAGGTAAGGGACATCTACAGAAAGAGTTTATTATAAATTGTTCAAAATAAAACTCCTGCTCAAGAACTACCTGCAAATCATCATTTTACCTCCTTAGTTTATAAACTAAAATGCTAGGTGTTAAAAAATACACTCTATTTGTTGATCAAAGCTTCAATTATATGCTTTCATAAATCAAGTGACTTTTTCACTAGAATACTTAGAAGTTCAAGATGATAAATCAAATACATATCATGTTCAGACTGTGTCAGGGCAATAGATTTAACTGTACTTGAAAACATCCTTAGCCAGGCTATACTTCTGTTTGATCACAAGCACTGAATGAATGTCTCACTGATGTAATTTGCCTAGTTCTTCTGTATTGACTATGTGCTGTAGTGGTTTGTATGGATTTCATGACCAGTATGTGCTGATGACTTGTGTCTTAGTCAACAGCTACAATAATGTATGTTACATACATTTTCTACAGTATACTTTCACAACTACTTGTCCTGATTTAATTCACTTTACTATACCTCAGCTTAAAAACATGGGAAATATGTTCCTCTTACATACTGCATTTCACAGTATATTAACTATCTCTGCCAGAGAGTTTCTAATAAGACCTCAGACTATGAAAGAGAGGTAAAATGCAAGTGATTGATTACTTATTTAATTTGTGCTATGCATGTATCTATAAAAATTGATTAGTTTTTCAAATTCATGTTCTGACCTTATGTGTTATTATTTTACTTCTTAAAAATGTCAGGCAGTAGTCCCACATCCATTACATAGTTGCAGAGTCAAGGAAAAATAATCAATTTAAAAGCAATTTATTTACTATGGGTCACATACCATACTGCAATGTAATCATTCACTGGTTCGGTCTGGAGCAAAGTAAAGTTAATATAAACCCCATGACCCTGTGGAACAGAAATAAACCAAGTACAGTCCTTTGAATTGGGATATTCATCTGGAAATCCTGGAGAGTAAATGGTGCCATTTTCCGATGACACATTATATCCGCAAGGTGCTGAAATGGAAACAATGTGCATTAAAATATAGCAATGACAAGCTTAGTTACTTAGGGTTCTTTAAAGACAGTATTCAGAATTAAATTCCAAACTGTTCTTTAATTGGTAACCAGAATTATGACAACTATCACAAAGCCAAAGCCCTCTAATGTTTGCTATTAAAAACAGTGTTTAGCCCTTATAGATGTTATTTTATTTTAACCACTTGCCCTCCACAGGATTTACCCCCCTTCCTGATCAAGCCATTTTTTGCGATATGAGGCTGTGTTACTTTAACTGACAGTTGCGCAGTCATGCAACACTGCACCCAAATGAAATTTATGTCCTTTTTCCCACAAATAGAGCTTTATTTTGGTGGTATTTGATCACCTCTGCGTTTTTTATTTTTTGCGCTATAAACAAAAAAAGACCCACAATTTAGAAAAAAAAAAGCAATATTTTTGACATTTTGCTATTAAACATGTCCAGTAAAAAAATAAAAAAAACAAATTTCAGCATAAATTTAGACCAAAATATTCTGTCTTTGCTAAAAAAAATCACAATACATGTAAATTAGTTTACATGAAAGTTATAGCGTTTACAAATATAAGTGGTATATATACTGGGATTTTTAAAATCTATTTTTACTGGCAATAGCGGCTATCAGCGACTTATAGCAGTACTGTGGGACTGTGGTAGGCATTCTGACACTGGGGGGAAGCATTGTGCAGGAGCTAACAGGGGAGAGATCTGTGTTTGTATATACACGGGTCTCTCCCCCGTTGGTAATATTCGGAGATCACCAGGTGCCTTCGAGGAATAACAGGCCGGGACCTGGTGATTGACAGCCAAGGCTGCAAATGGCAGCACGGGTAGGCCGCATGTGCGGTGAGCGTGTGCCCCCCTATCCAGAACTGCAGAATCACACATATATATATATATATATATATATATATATATATATATTATATATGTATTTTTGCACACCCTGCCACCCTGTAGCAGTATTTTTGTTATAGGGTGGCGTGGAAGCGGTTAATGAATAATCAAGAGAGTTATTTTAGACATTTCTTCTTTTCTGTCATTGATTGTACGGATAAACCTTTAAATGCACTGACATAATTTATTGTTTAACAGCCATGTATGGATCTATATGCTCTAGAATGTCTGAAATCTCCCAGTTTATGTGTGTTTTAAGCATGGGCTCACATCCCTAGCAGATTCAGCAACAAACAACTAAAACTAACAGATTCAGTAAAAGACAACTAAAAATCAGGTAATTTGTATGAATGTGCCAGAACAGATAAATACACATTTTCTATAAATAGAAATGGATTTACCAACTGATTTTATTGGAATATGGGATACTAAATGATCTTTGACATTTATTTATGACATATATTGTAAAATAACCAAGTAAATTCAAGCTGAAGAGCGCACCAACAAACTCCTGTGATATTGTACACATGAAAGCCACTTATTCCTCTTCACAAATAATCAATGTAGTTACTAAAGAGAACTTTGAATACACTGCTAATTACAGTAATTAAATCTATCTATCTATCTATCTATCTATCTATCTATCTATCTATCTATCCCTGCCAAAGGATTGTATTTCTGTGCAGTCAATCTTATGATATACAGTACATACCCCTGCCACCAACAATGGATGGTTAAGCAATATTACATTGATTGTGTTGATTAAGGGATCTGGGTTTTTTTTTTTCAACCCACTGGTTGAACAAAAAAAAAAACTCAAGATGTGTGCCCTGCTTAAGATTTAGTTATCTCACTACTATACTGTTCACTGTTGTTCCTGCTGGAGGCTCTACCAAACTGCTTCTACCAGTTTGGATATCTTCACACAAAGACACAGTCGGGGGAATTCACTAAAATTGGAGCAGACAGAATCTGGGGCAGCTGTGCATAGTAAATAAACAGCTTCTATCTTCAGCTTTTTTCAGTTAAGCTTTAAATATGAAAGATTGGCTGTCATGTACACCCACTCCATGTTCTGGCCTCAAAGTTTTGATACATTTTCCCCAGTGCAAAAGAAGGCATAATAAGTCAATAATTAGAAAGGATCACTTGCAGGAAGTCCACAGGCAACACTTATGACTAGCTTTATGCCTGCCTACTTACAATAACATAAGCATTTTTATGGTTCTTTGCTTTTTGTGACCCCACAATATACAAAGTACTTATTCCTTATATATATATATATATATATATATATATATATATATACACACTGCTCAAATAAATTAAAGGAACACTTTTTAATCAGAGTATAGCATCAAGTCGATTAACTCCTGGGATATTAATCTGGTCAGTTAGGTAGCAGAGGTGGTTGTTAATCAGTTTCAGCTGCTTTGGTGTTAATAAAATTGACAACAGGTGCACTAGATGGGGAAAAACAATAAAACGCCCCCAAAACAGGAATGGTTTTACAGGTGGAGGCTGCTGACATTTTTGCCATACTCATCTTTTCTGACTGTTTTTCACTAGTTTTGCATTTGACTAGGGTCAGTGTCACTACTGGTAGCATGAGGCGATACCTGGACAGGCAGTCCAACTCCTCCAGGATGGCACATCAATACATGCTATTGCCAGAAGGTTTGTCTCCTGAAATCTCTTCCATGCTCTTGAGACTGTGCTGGGAGACACATCAGACAGTTACTCTAGGAGAGCTGGACAGGGCCATAGAAGGTCCTTAAACCATCGGCAGGACCGGTATTTGCTCCTTTGTGCAAGGAAGAACAGGATGAGCACTGCCAGCGCCTTACAAAATGACTTCCAGCAGGCCACTAATGTGAATATCTCTGACTAAACAGTCACAAACAGACTTCATGAGGGTGACCTGAGATGTCAACATCATCTAGTGGACCCTGTGCTCACTGCCCTGTACCATAGAGCTCAATTAGCATTTGCCATTGAACACCAGAATTGGCAGTTTTGCCGCTGGTGCCCTGTGCTTTGCACAGATGAGAGCAGGTTCACCCTGAGAACATGTCACAGATGTCAAAGTGTCTGGAGAAGCCTTGGAGAACGTTATGCTACCTGTAACATCGTTCAGCATGACTGTCTTGGTGGTGAGTCAGTGATGGTCTGGGGAGGTATATCCATTGAGGTATGCACAGACCTCTACAGGCTAGACAATGGCACCCTGACTGTCATTAGGTATCACGATGAAATTCTTGGACCCTAGGCTGGTGCTGTGGGTCCTGGGTTTCTCCTGGTGCACAACAATGCCCAGCCTCATGCAGATAAAGGAATTGAAATGAGCATTCAATATATGGCCCCCACGCTCACCTGACCTAAATCAAATAGAACACCTCTGGGATATCATGTTTCAGTCCATCCGACACTGCCAGATTGCACCTTAGACTGTCTAGGAGCTCAGTGATGCCCTGGTACAGATCTGGGAGGAAATACCCCAGGAAAACATCCATCATTTCATTAGGAGCATGCCCCAACATTGTCAGGCATGCATACAAGTACGTAGGGGCCATACAAACTACTGAGTAGCATTTTGAGTTGCTGCAATGAAATTGCAGTAAAATGAACTAGCCTGCTCCATCATTTTTTTTCACTTTGATTTTTGGGGTGTCTTTGAATTCAGTACTCTGTAGGTTGATAATTTTCATTTCCATCAAATGATGGGGCATCCTTACGTTCCTAACACATTACCCAGTCTATATCAGTATAGATATCCAGCATGATATTTTTCCCCATTGAGATATGATGTGTTTTCAAAGTGTTCCTTTAATTTTTTTGAGCAGTGTGTGTGTGTGTATATATATATATATATATATATATATATATATATATATATATATACATACACTTTACATTGTGTTGAATGAAGTAGGAAAGCATTAAAACCCCTGTCAAGTTTTATTGATGTGTTGCTAGGGAGATTTTTCTTCTCTTTATGTACTAGAGACAAAGAACCTTTCCTTCTTAAACAGCTGACCCTTACTTCCTATTCTGGTAACAACTGTAAAATGTTGGGTTTCTTTCAAAAATCACTTTTTGTGCCAGTAAAAGTGGTAACCAATAAAAACAGTGAGCTATTAATCATTCCTTACTCTATACAAAACTACATTACATATCCATTGGGACTATTATTCTTACTAAATGAGGGCGTCAAACTTGAGAATTTAAATACATGTACAGCTATTCGAATACTGAATATTTTTCTAATAACTTCATGAAATCTAGAATATTTATGAGGTTTATAAATTGCATCCTTCAGTGGAGAGAGGTGGCAAAGTCCGCTTCTCATTTGAGGCTGAGCACCTCAGCAGCCACTTGCTTTGGAGACCCTTGTTATTGCCTGATCTTTAATCAAGATAGACAGGCAAACAAATGCTTGCCATGTAAACTAGCAATATTGCCAAAATGCAGACACATTGTTGTCTATAAGTACCTTAATTAGAAAAGAGTGAATCAATTTAAGCAAATTAGAATTAGTAGGAAATTCTGCTAGTCACTGAGTCAGCCAACTTACAACTTAACAGGTCACTCCCAGTACAGAACTATGCCAATTTCTTAATAGACCACTGATGTCACAGGGGGCAGGGGGTCTTGCCTGTAGCACAGATAAAGCAAGATTGGACCCATTGTATGAATTGAAATGAGCCTGTAAACAGTAAGTAGTCCCTTTTTTCTACTTTACTGACAGTGAACAATAGACTCCCATTTACTAAATTTACTAAATTACTGTCAGTGAGAAATTTCCATTACTCATCTTTTTTTTGCTAAACTTCTAATTTAATTCTGATATCTGGGTGCCCAGAGAAGCCATGCATCAGATGCATGCTGAATAGAAGACTTGACTGAAAGCTAAGCCCAACTCCTACCAGAGTTCCTAGCTTTCAACAGTCTATTGTGAGGGGTCAGCAGAGGCTCACACAATGGAGAGAAGGGCTACATTTATGCAGAAATATCAGTTAGAGAACTATCAGTGTGTCTTGTAGTTACGGCAAGATGCCTCCATGTTTGGAATATTGCTAGTCTGAACATATTAATATAACTGGCAGCTCTTTTTTTTAGATAACCAATACAAGAAACAAATTCAATACAATAAAAAGTAGAAAACATTAGAAGAAATGTCTACATATGAATAGGAACAGGAAGGTTCAAGCTAAAAGGCAAAACTACAAACTTTTTTTTATACTGTACACACGAAAACCACTTATGCTCCACTTTACAAATAATTAATGTAGTCATTACTTTAGTTTAAATGAAAGTACAGTGTGATACACTTCATTTAAGCCAGGCACTATAAAATGAGCATTATTTTTTTTTCACTCCATGTGACTGCAGAAGTTATTGACTACTTTTTCTTCAGATTATTAACCTTAGCAACAAAGGTTTTGCGAAGCATGAAAAACAGACACAATCATTGCACAATGAGGGACTGCTGAATACTTACACAATAATGAAACATTAGGGCTAATGGATCACAAAGCAAATTGCCCTATTTATGCTATCATATTTAGTTCCCTCCAGAGAGCCTCATAGAAGGTGCAAGTTGTAATGTTAATCTCAGAAACAATAAATAATTGCTTGTTAGAAAAGCTAGGCTATTTATACTGGAAAATTCAATGTTTTTTCAAAACACTACTGAAATAAATGTCAATGTTCACCTAAGACGATTCACAGCCAGCAGTCAATACGTTTAAGTTCTATGTAAGGGCTGTTTTAATAAATTTTTCTTTAATAAAAAAAAAAACAAACAAACAAGCAAAGCTTTCAAAGCTGTTTCTTGAAGCATTTAAAAAGTAAGTAGTTAGCAAACAAACTCTCAGGATAATTTACTTACCTTCACATCTTGGAAAAGGATAGTTCCAGTTTCTATTAATACCATGTTGGCAAGTGAGAACAGCATGTCCTATCAGAACATATCCTGGATAACATTCAAAAGATATTGATTGTCCCACACTATAATCAGAATTAATGATGTACCCATTCTTAAATGGATGCGGGGTTGGACAGTTTTGCAATTCATAGGCTGGAAAATAAAATCAGCACTTGCAATAAATGTTAATGAAAACCTAGGGAACTTAAGACACAAAACTATTGATAAAAAGGGATCAAGGAGAGAACATAATTGTGAAAATAAAATAACATGAATTAATCTTTTTAAAATCTTTTAGAATCACGAGACAGTCAAGCAGCATGTTTATGCATGTAGAATATTTGTGAACTACACAGTACTCAGGTCTTATATTGTACAGGGGAAAACCATTTTAGAGTGTACTGCTAGCAAAACCCTCTGGTTTAGTTGTTTTAGTTTCTTTTAGTTTTGGTTAGAGTGAGGAGGAATTAAAACTTCAGTCAAACTTTTTTTTTTTACTTTCTGAATCCCTACTGGGAAGATTCACCTCTCGTCATACTGAATACAGGCGGTCATTGGGAACAAGATCAGAAGTAAAGGGAAATAAAAAAGTTTAGAGTTGTCCTCAGAAAAAGAGATTAAGGGATATATTCTAATGTGAGCACATGTTCCAGGGACAACTGTATAAGAGGGGAATTCCCATAATTTTGGGAATTTTCACTAATTTCCTGTTGCATCTATGGGACAGGAGATGTAGGGAAAATTCCACAGAGGCAAACAGCAAAGAAAATAACTAGCTGGGCATTTTAACTCTTCCCCACTCAGTTTTTGCTATGCATATGCTTAAATGTGAGAACAAAAGGCAAAAATGATTATACTAAAAACATATACTGTGCATACATACGCTATATTAGCAAAAGTATTGGGATGCCAAATCAATCACCTCCATGGCCACAGGTGTATAAAATCAAGTACCTAGACATACAGACTGCTTCTACAAATGTGTGAAAGAACTGGTCACTCTCAGGAGCTCAGTGAATTTCAGCCTCATATTGTGATAGGTTGCCACCTGTGCAATAAGTCCATCCGTGAAATCTCCTTGATACTAAATATTCCATTGCCAACTTTTAGTGGTATTCAGGGGCGGACTGACAACTCATGGGGCCCCCCGACAATAGGGGATCATGGGGCCCGTGTCCTCGCCCACACTAAAACCACACTCAAAAAAGCCTATGAATGGTACCAGGGGCATCTAATGGGGCCCCTATTGACCCTGGGCCCTCGGGCAGTGCCTGAGTAGCCGCGTGGTCAGTCCGCCCCTGGTGGTATTATAACAAAGTGGAAGCAACTGAGTCAATAGCTAAAGACCTCCAAACCTCATGTGGCCTTCTGATTAGCACAACAACAGTGTGTAGACAGCTTAATGGAATGGGTTTCCATGGGCGAGCAGCTTCCTAACTGCATTGTGCAAAGTGTAAAGTTTGGTGGAGGGGGTTTATGTTTTGGGGTTGTTTTTCAGGGTTTGGGCTTGGCCCCTTACTTAGTTCCAGTGAAGTGAACTCTTAAGCTGTCAGCATACCAAGACATTTTGGACAATTGCATGCTCCCACCCTTGTGGGAATGGTATGGGATGGCCCCTTCCTGTTCCAACATGACTGCACACCAGTGCACAAAGCAAGGTCCATAAAGGCATGGATGAGCGAGTTTGGGGTGGAGGAACTTGACTGGCCTGCACAGAGTCCTGACCTCAATACGATAGAACAGCTTTGAGACTAATTAGAGTGGAGACTGCAAGCCAGGCCTTCTCGTCCGACATCAGTGCCTGACATCACAAATGCACTTCTGGAAGAATGGTCAAACATTCCCATAGACACACTCCTAAACCTTGTGGACAGCTTTCCCAGAAGAGTTGAAGCTGTTATAGCTGCAAAGGGTGTGCCAACTCAATATTGAACCCTACGGACTAAGACTGGAATGCAATTAAAGTTCATGTGCGTGTAAAGGCAGGCGTCCTAATACTTTTGGCAATATAGTGTACAGTATGTAGCACTACCCCCTGTAGCACTACAATTGAGTAAGAGCCCCTAGTTAACTAAGCGTGTGCTACACATATTTAACATAACATACTGTACGTAACTATCTACATATGACATAACTGCATGAATTGTGGTAAAGATTTTAACTTCCTGTGTGACCTTATTCTATTTAATAAAACTGGTCTGTTCAAGGTTCTACAGCAGGGGTCGGCAGCCATAAAGATGTGGAGATCTACCTGAACAAAATGGGAGAAGTCAAAGATCACCAAGCACAGTGTTGCCTCCTCACATGCATTTTAAACCTTCAATTGCTGTACTACCGTGTCACAATCATGTGCATTGCACAGCAATCATAAGTTTAAATCAGGTGGTGAGGAGGCAACTTATCACCTCCTCACTACCTGTCAAACACACTTGGATTGCTTTTCAGAGGAGCAGCAGTGCCTGCTGCACTTGTGAATGAGTCCCTAGTTGCATTTGGCAGCAGCACCCTTATGGCTCTTTCACACATAAAGTTGGGGGATGATAAAACCCTGTGGTTTAATCACAATTTTACCGCACCCAATCCCTATTCCCTTTAGGTGCTGAAGCAACAGCCAAAGATGTACACATTCCACAGCAGGAATTAAACCCCCGGCTGCTTTTGGTGGGTGCTACTGCTTATTAATCGTGACCCATTCAAGTAAAGGGGCCACTTTGCAAGTGCCCTGCAACTGCATGCTTTTGTCCAAGAGGTTAAAGCAGGTAGTGAGAAAGCAACACAATGGTGCCTGCTTTAACCCCTTGTTTGCTGTACTGCGCAAGGTTGTAGGGCACTTGCAGAGCAGCCACATTCACTTGAATGCATCATGCTTAGCAGGTGCTACACCCTCCAACCGGGTGTATAACTCCTTCTGCAACATGTGAGCACCCCTGGCTACTACAGCTAAAGGGGGTGCAGGTGGGGTGAGGGTGGTAAAAAAATGTCTTAAATATGGGGTTTTACAACCCCCAAACTGCAAATGTAGATGAACCTTTACTGTTCTGAGCCCCCTATAAGGCTGCTTTTACACTGATGTGCTGCAATTTACCCACACCATGGGTACAGCACAGCTCATCTGCGACTTTCCTGGGTCAGCTGCGCTTTGCCATAGACTTCTATCATATCCTGCAGGTGTGCTGCACTTTCTTAAAGAGTACCAAAACTCTTGCATTCAGGAGTTTTGGTGAGCTTTCAGAAAGTGCACCAAACCTGCAGGATGTAATAGTATAGGGCTGCTTTCACACTGATGTGCTGCTGTTTACCCACACTGTGGGTGCAGTGCAAGTGTACATGCAGCTTTTCTGTGGGTTTTCTGCGCTTAGCCATAGACTTCTATTATGCCCAGTGTATTGCTTCACACTGACCTAACAATCTCTTCTTTCCTGCTGCCGGCACCACTCTGGAGACCGCTAGCCAGGATAAGAGGTGGAGTGCAGTTGGTATCACTCTGCCTGGGACAGGAGCCAGCACTACAGAGGAGGCATTGGTTTATGTGGCTCTTGCTCCCTACTCAGGGGTGGACTGACAACTCATGGGGCCCCCGGGCAATAGGGGATCATGGGGCCCCTGTGTCCTTGCCCAAACTTAATAAAGTCCATGAAAAAAGGTACCAGGGGCATCTCATAGGGCCCCCTACTGACCCCTGGCCCTCGGGCAGTGCCCGAGTTTCTAAATGGTCAGTCCACCCGTCCCTACTTCAGCTACAACTTTACAAGTAGTCCCAATGCACTGTTCTGTGATGGCGGGTCAGCAAGCCCAGACTGTGTTCTATCAGTCATCAGGCAGCAATCTACTGATAGTAGTTCTACAGTCATCATTTGGTTATGTTAAACAATTGCAGCTGCATTGGCACCTACTGTGGTCCTTGAGAAGTACAATTTTCTTCTTACATGGAGTGGTGAGCATTTATTGGAATAACAAATTGTAACATAATATGCACATTATTGGTGTTCATTCAACATGTTTGGTGAGATAATTGCATTTTTTTTTTTTGCTATATTTTGCTCTCTGTTGCCATTAAATCTTGTTTATTTTTACACATTTATATAAGCCAAACATAGACAGTTATGATGCTTAAATAAAGGGAGTTTAAAAGTAGACAGGTATTTAAAAAGACAAACACAAATTGGCAAAATGCGCGGAAAATGATTTTACATTTTTTTTAACCGTTTTTTATATTTTTACTCCTGCTTTTCTTTATATTTTTACTTCTGTTTCCCTTTACTAAAGTAATGCATCATACTATCTTCAGGTCACATTAGATCTTTAATGAGTACTATAGCGTCACCAGTCATGTAATAGATTCTATCCATAGGAAAAACTGTAGAAAGCACAATGACAGTAACCAGAACATTACAAAGCTTTGGCTGTAATCACAGGACAAGGAATGGTTGGATATTACCAAAAGAGTCATAGGCAACAATAATGACCCTGTGCAGTAGAAAAACTTCCCAAGTTCTATTAAACTAAAATAATGGTTTTGGAGGGTTTACACTTCAAGATTGGTTTAATGTATTTATTTTATTTTGAGTCAAGTTTACTAGCTTAAGCCTGGTTTAATGTATTTATTTTATTTTGAGTCATGTTTACTAGCTTAAGCCTGGTTTAATGTATTTACTTTATTTCGAGTCATGTTTACTAGCTTAAGCCAGCCATACAGTGGGGACCAGATGAATTTCAATCCATGTATGAGCAGTGAGGTTGTACAGAAGTCAATCTACCAATCGACTTCTGTACAACCACCCTGTCAGATTTTCCCTGCTCAATCAGATATGCAGGCTATAGCCTGCAATGCTGATCAGTGTCTACTGGTGGTAGGGATGTCTCCCCACTGTCAGAATACAATAGTTCAGTATGTGTTCTCACATAAGAGGGAAAATTTTTTTTTTTTGTGTAGTGTGGCACTGCTAATAAGTGCATAAATAACAAAGGCCAATAAAAGAAAGTAAATAATATATCAGAAACCAATAAAGTGAAGCAAAAATGGATGTACAGTCAGGTCCATAAATATTGGGACATCGACACAATTCTGACATTTTTGGCTCTATACACCACCACAATGGATTTGAAATGAAACAAACAAGATGTGCTATAACTGCAGACTGTCAGCTTTAATTTGAGGTTATTTACATCCAAATCAGGTGAACGGTGTAGGAATTACAACAGTTTGCATATGTGCCTCCCACTTGTTAAGGAACCAGAAGTAATGGGACAATTGGCTTCTCAGCTGTTCCATGGCCAGGTGTGTGTTATTCCCTCATTATCCCAATTACAATGAGCAGATAAAAGGTCCAGAGTTCATTTCAGGTGTGCTATTTGCATTTCGAATCTGTTGCTGTTAACTCTCAAGATGAGATCCAAAGAGATGTCACTATCAGTGAAGCAAGCCATCATTAGGCTGAAAAAAACAAAACAAGCCCATCAGAGAGATAGCAAAACATTAGGCGTGGCCAAAACAACTTTTTGGAACATTCTTAAAAAGAAGGAACGCTCCGGTGAGCTCAGCAACACCAAAAGACCCGGAAGACCACGGAAAAAAAAACTGTGGTGGATGACCAAAGAATTCTTTCCCTGGTGAAGAAAACACCCTTCACAACAGTTGGCCAGATCAAGAACACTCTCCAGGAGGTAGGTGTATGTGTGTCAAAGTCAACAATCAAGAGAAGACTTCACCAGAGTGAATACAGAGGGTTCACCACAAGATGGAAACGATTGGTGAGCCTCAAAAACAGGAAGGCCAGATTAAAGTTTTACCAAATGACATCTAAAAAAGCCTTCACAGTTCTGGAACAACATCCTATGGACAGATGAGACCAAGATCAACTTGTACCAGAGTGATGGGAAGAGAAGAGTATGGAGAAGGAAAGGAACTGCTCATGATCCTAAGCATACCACCTCATCAGTGAAGCATGGTGGTGGTAGTGTCATGGTGTGGGCATGTATGGCTGCCAATGGAACTGGTTCTCTTGTATTTATTGATGATGTGACTGCTGACAAAAGCAGCAGGATGAATTCTGAAGTGTTTTGGGCAATATTATCTGCTCATATTCAGCCAAATGCTTCAGAACTCATTGGACGCCGCTTCACAGTGCAGATGGACAATGACCGAAAGCATACTGCAAAAGCAATCAAAGAGTTTTTTAAGGGAAAGAAGTGAAATGTTATGCAATGGCCAAGTCAATCACCTGACCTGAATCCGATTGAGCATGCATTTCACTTGCTGAAGACAAAACTGAAGGGAAAATGCCCCAAGAACAAGCAGGAAATGAAGACAGTTGCAGTAGAGGCCTGGCAGAGCATCACCAGGGATGAAACCCAACGTCTGGTGATGTCTATGCGTTCCAGACTTCAGGCTGTAATTGACTGCAAAAGAATTTGCAACCAAGTATTAAAAAGTGAAAGTTTGATTTATGATTATTATTCTGTCCCATTACTTTTGGTCCCTTAACAAGTGGGAGGCACATATGCAAACTATTGTAATTCCTACACCGTTCTCCTGATTTGGATGTAAATACCCTCAAATTAAAGCTGACAGTCTGCAGTTAAAGCACATCTTGTTTGTTTAATTTCAAATCCATTGTGGTGGTGTATAGAGCCAAAAATTTTAGAATTGTGTCGATGTCCCAATATTTATGGACCTGACTGTATCAGCAAACACCCTGCTGACCATCAAACCCGTGTCAATCAATCTTCTTTGAACTCAAAAATATATATATTAAAATATAGTGCATGAGCAACAAATTACAGCTGTATAGAAAACACTAAATAGACACAATTAAAGAATAAAAAATAAATAATAAACCCCCGGCTGACCATCAAACCCAAATAGGGAAAATAGTGCAGCATCAAATAAAATAGACTAATTTAACATAAAATAATTTAATAATCTAACATAACATAAACATCAAACATTTTTCTTTGACTAATCTATGGGCTACCTTAGGTATATGGTTCTGTCATACTGATTTATATGTGACCATTTCAAGGTACATGGGACAAGACCACTAAGCTTCAAGTTAAACAATATAGCAAAAACTTTTCAACCAAACTGAGGTATATCAGACATAATTCACTTAAACTCACAAAATGAACTTAACAGTAATGCTACATACTTCCTTACCTTGATATACAAGCTTAAATCCTTGTCGATTTTCAGAATGATCACTAAAAAAGTGAATAAGAACTTCATGAGTGGTGCTTAGCAATGATGAAGGGAGTTCAGGACCACTAAACTGCCCAATTTGGGAACTTGTATGATAGGGACCGTTTTGTATCTCAAGAATATCATGATTTGCCTCAGTTGAAAAATTTTCAAACTGAATGTGAGCCCCTGAAAATGAAAAAAGCAACAATTAATCATACAGGAACCATTCTACCCCTGCATGTATACTTTTGGGGCCCAACTCTGAGCTAAATTATTTATTTTTCCAAGGTGTAGTAGAAACATGATTATGCTCGTCTCGGAATTAATTCAAGGACACAGCCATTTTTCATGATGAATGGGTTTGATATCTCCATCTACAGGAGCAGGATGCTAGGTGCAACTAAACTAAACCTCCCAGGGGGAGGCTCTCTGGAGATTGTCAAATCCCCCATATGCATTAAGTTTAGTTAGTAGACAGCAGTAGAGGACATATACACCAAGAAAGGCAAAAGAAGACTGGATGTGTGCTGTGACCTTCACTTAACTCAGGAAAGGAGTTTATGGTGAGTACAAAAATCCCTTTCTCTTTTGTTTATTGAAGGACATACTTCCTGTCCTGATGAATGGGACTTCCTAAATCAGTACCATAGAGAAGAAGGGTAGGCCCATAAACAGAAAACAACAGAACAGAAAACCACATCCCAGCAGAACTCAGACTGCTGCCTGCAAAACTTTCTGCCAAAACTGGCATCCACAGAGACAGCTACATTAGCCTTGTAGAATTTGGTAAAGGTGCAAGCAAATGACCAAGTAGCCGCCTTGCAAACCCAAACAACCAAAGCAGAATGATAAAAGCTCAGGATGCATAAAGCCCCCTGGTAGAATGTGCCATGACAAGAAACATAGATTCTTGGCCTGAAATGGCATAAGCCCAGAAATGGTGGAAGACAAAGCCACCTGTACTTTGCTAGGACCCTCAGGATCATTGAATAAAGATTCAGATTTTTTAATAGGTGCCATAGCAGAAAGATATGTATGAAAGAATGTGAACTGCCGATATGTATGGAACATGGCACTCTGCCAATTTTTGAGAGGCCTCCAGGGCCTCAGCCAAGCTCCTGGTGCCCCCAGGTTGGGTGGGATGGGCTGTACCATGATTGAGAAAATGTGGAGTAGAGTTATCCAATGGGAGAGGGGGAGATGGAGTGACCAAAATTCCAGAATGTTAATGGTCAAACTGGCCTCCTCCAGAGACCAAAGGCCCTGTTTGGACAAGCGATGTATACCACTTTCCCACCTGAAAAGACTGGCATCTGTGATGATGATTTGCCTACTGAAGGGAAGAAAGGTCTTCCCGGCTGACAGAATAGAGGACTGAAGCTTTTATTGGGCAAAATAGATAGAGGGACTGATCAAGTGAGCCTAGAACTAGGTTCCACTTGGCCAGAATCTCTCAAAATTCACATGCAGAAACAGATGAATGCAGCACACAGAAAAAGGAGGCAGCTGACATGAAGATAAAGCTTTTGAAGTTTGTAAATCAGAAGAAAAATCCTGGCCATGGTAGTGTCCAGAATGAGTCCCAGGTACTCTATATGAGGGGATGGAACCAGCACCAACTTGCAAGAAGTTTAGAGTTCATGCACATTCCATCAAGATCTTGATCATGATGGAGAGATCTCATTTGAGAGCTGTTGCAGATGGTGCTCACAGGATAAAAAAATCCAGATATCCCACAACTGCTATCTCACTGAGTAGAAAAGTCGAGATTAAAGCTTTTGCATCTTGGTGAAGACATGCAACGCTGATGCCAAAGAGTAAGGCTACAAATTGGTAGTGCATCTCCCCTACCACAAACCAAAGGGAACACTGGGGAGAGTGGCAAATGGGGATATGAAGGGAAGTGTCATTGAAGTCAGTTGTGGCCACGAAATCCCCTTGAAGTAAGGAAGCTACCACTGAGTGAACTGACTCCATGCAAAACTTGTGGACATATAAGAAGGTGTTCAAGGTGGACAGATACCGCCCTTCTTTGGAACAGTGAACAAATTGGAATAGAAGCCCATGAATGCTTCCGAGAATGTAACAGTGGCTATTTATCCCTGCTCCAAGATTCCTTGAATTGCAAGTTATAAGTCAGCTAATTGTTTGGGGAAAGTTCACAGATTGGAGGGAAAAAAAACAATCTGGCGGAAAGGTTTGGAACTTGTAACCAGAGGAGATAACTTTGAGAACCCAATTTTGAGAAAGTCATCAGTTTGCAAAACAACAGGAGATGTACCCCCACCTTGAGATGCAAGGTGAGGGCATACCTTGAAGTGAAGGATGGTTTCTCTGCAGACTTCGGAGCTTTGGACTGCAAGGGGTGCTGGCATTCAGAGGAGTCAAAAGGCTTGGAGGACTTTCCATGAAGGAGAAGCTTTGGCTAAGAAAAATAAGTTTGTGGGCTTAAAAGGAGGGGCCAACATGTAATGTGTGTCCTTAGCTTTCTGAATTTGCGGGAGGAAGATACTCTTGCCTCCAGTGATGTTCTTGATGAGCTCATCCAAGGATGCACCAAAGAGGTGGCCACTCACCAATGGCTTGTTGGTAAGGGCTTTCCTAGAAGTCTGATTCACAGACCAGCACTTAAGCCAGAGAAGCCTCTATAAAACAATTGCAGAGACAGACAGATGGGAGACCAACTGAGCTAAGTACAGAGCCACATTACACAGGTATTAAAGACCTTAAACTAGTCTATCCACCAATTCCACAACTTTGGCTCCATAAACAGCCTACATAGAATGCACAGTGCTCTCTGCCTTCCTGTCTGATGGGTAAAGGAAGGAGATTCTTCTGAGGGAATGTTGGTAGCCTTATTCAGTTTGGAAACTGGAGGGTCTACCACAGGAGTAGTAGACCACTTCTTAATGAATGCTTCCTCAAAGGAATTGCGAGGAAGACTTAATTGGTTGTGACCAAGGCTAAAAGATAAAATCATCAAAATCATCATATGGAAAAACTTGGGAAAACTTTTTGCATTTGTGAGTCCCATAAGGTAGCTGGCAATCCAACGACTGAGATGGGTAATCTTCCATTTTCAAAGTTTCCCTGACCACTGTAATGAAACCAACTCAAGCAATTCAACCAATGCCAGTTTGGCTACTGGCAGCTTTTCCTCATCATCAGAAGGAAGAGGGGAAGTCTCCACCTCAGGTCTTCCCAGATTCAGGAAAAGAGACTGTTTAGCATCAGATTCGCCAGACACAGATTCTGGAGGAAGGAGACTCGCGGTGGGGGTTTGCACAACAGGGCCCACTCCATACACCAGACAAAATACTCTATGGTGGCAGAAAAATAGTCAAAGGTTAAGGGGGCCCCAGAAGAACCTGACACCACCTGACTTGCATTTGAAGAAGGCACAGAGGCCTCTAAGACCAGAGGAGTCTGGCAGAATAAACAATGTGGTTTGCCCAGGAAAAGGTTTACCCCTGAATCACAGGAGGCACATACAGCAGGGAGATTCCTAATTTTGTAGACCCCTGGTGGATTTTTGTTACCTGCCCATCGTGCCTTGTGCTATAATTGGACCTGCAGATGGGGAGAAGGCCTTTACTCCCAGGGATACACTCACCACTCCTGGACTGTATATCTGATTGCAGGGAGGAAGTCTGTGCTACTGCAGGGGAGACAGAAAAGGCAAAAGTAGAGCCTGCTGTGCCATTCTGAGAGGTGAGAAGTCTTTGTGTAACAATCTGGCTTAAAAGAGCAGATCCTGATGTGACCTGATCTGGCTATGTGGACTAATCCTTGCAAGGAGTGGTAGCGCTGTGCAATGATCTGGTCTATGCCCCCAGTGGCTGGCAGAGCTGAGCCTATGTGCGGGAAAATGGACCCCCCCTCAGAACTCCAGAACAGGGGATAAACAGCTCAGGAAGCTGTGAAAATGGCACCAAGGCTTCACCCTCTTGGGGCTGCAGCCTTCAATGAATGGAAGAGAAATGAAAAATGCAGCTCAAGCTAGCATGCTTACCTCTGCCCCAGTGATTCCTTTCCATCATTTAATGCCCTCAGTCTTCCAAGGTCATTAAATGATGGAAGTCAGTGTCATGCTCAGTGTCATTCAGCCAAGAAGACTTAAGACACACTGAATGAAGAGCATCATAGACCTACCCCCTGAGACATCACCAAGGTGATCTGCATTCACAGTGTAATGCTGCAGAGAGCAGTGCTAGCATAATAATACTAGCACTGTGCTCACCATAATAAAGAACCAACTGCTGGAAAAGGAAGATATCTGGAAAAGGTAAGTATGAAAAGTATGTAAGTATGAAAACAAAAACAGCATAAAAAACTGCTTGTGATGGTTGCCTTAAGGGGACCAGGGGGGTTGACTAGAGAACAGGGGCTAGAATCTAAAATTGGGATTGAACAATGCTCTGACCTATGATAGATAAATGTTATGCTACACTCTGCATTGCTTAGTACATGCATTACCAGAGATATAGGTGATCTGAAAACTTGTTTTGTGTATCATAAATCATTACCATGGTTTTTTAAATGAAATAATTGTTTTAACAGTTCCCATCCTTATTTGCATCACATTGTGGCAGATCTCTTCCAGATTTTATGAGCAACTTCCTGTCTATATACATTTGCTGTACATCATTAGTTTGGACTGGTTCAGGGGATGACTGGCAACTTTAGGCCCAGGGGGCAAGTACAACCCAGATGCCCATGGTGCAGTGTCTTGGCCCCCCTCCAGCTCCCCCTCTTCCCTGCCTCTTCCCGACCCCCATCCAAGGCTCCGCACTGGCTCTGGGTTCCTAAGCTGGCCAGAGCAGGGGGAAGCCAGAGGCGGCAGTGGGGACTTTTTACTCCTCTTCACCAGGAAGCCTTTAGGCATAGGTGTGCACATCGTATTGCATTAGGGTGTGCACCCCAAAGTACAAACAAACATGTGTGTTTGAGTGTGTGTGTATGTATGTATATATATTTATATATATATATATATATATATATATATATATATATATATACACACACAGACATGCACACTCTTAAGCAGCCCATAGATTGTACAATTCTCTTTTCTTCTGCCACACGTAGAAGGACAGAAAATCACTAAATTCTCCCATAATCACAGTTAGTGTTGATGGGGGAATCCTTCCTGCTGCGCTATTGTATTCTGACAGTGTGAGGTTTCCCCCACCGTCAGAATACAATGATCACTGCTGGCAGCTATAGTCGCAGAGTGTGATCACACCAAAAAAAAAATGACTGGATGGTTTTACTGAAGTCATTTATTGGCAGGCAGGTTCCTGCTGAAGCCGATGTATTTCGATCCATCTGAGAAGGAAGGAAGGAAGGAAATTTGCAGAGCCCCACTTACATTAGAGTCCCTCTTACATTAGAGTACTGGATGGCAGGATAGCGAAGGAAGGAAAGGGGAGACTTCACTCACAGTGGATGAATGGATGGATTTTCAGGCTGCACCTTTCCTTTTCTAGTTCCTGGGCTTCAAACTTCCCGCCCACACATCTCATTCTCTGAGGCACACTACTGCCAGGGAGCGTGGGTAAGGCAGACACAGGAGGAGGAGAGGGTGGGAGGAGGTGGAACAGAACCAGCTCTCTCTCTCCTCTCCCATCCATGTGGGGGGGAAGGGGAACTGTCAGTGCTGGCCCTGGACTGTGATAGAGAGACTCTCTAAGCTCACAGCCCTACAGCTGATGAGGAGCTACAGGCTGGCCTCTTGGGGCCCCCTCACAGTGGTATCAGAGTGGCCTGGGGGCCAATTGCCACTTCCCCCCCACCCAGTCCACCCCTGGATTGGTTCCCTGATAATGGTGACAATTGTAGTCTGTGCCTGCACAGTGAGTCTCAGCTACAGTCCGGCCTCTTGGGCTTCCCCCCCCACAGTGGCATCAGACTGACATGGGGGCCAATTGCCACTCCACCCCTAGCCCAGTCCACCCCTGGATTGGTTCCCTGATAATGGTGACAATTGTAGTCTTTGTCTGCTCAGTGAGTGTCAGTGCAGCCCCTTTTAATCTCCATTATTGATAAATTTGAGAGGGTAACAGCAAGGACATTTACAGTGGAATTCCTAAGTATTAATATGAAATTTGAATTTTTAGGAAGATCGAAAAACATTTTTGAACATATATTAATAGGGTAAAGCTTATAGAAGCTCTTGGGCTTACATTCACTTAAATTGACATGTGGGTTTGGCTGTAACAGTGATCATGGTGCCAAGGTTTTTCATCTGAAATAGTGTTAGTCAAAATACATACCAAAACCAACTGGTAATGAGATTTTCCAGGAGCAGTCTAAGTTGCTTGGGTAGTTTCCAGGAAAACCGGGACTTAATATTACTCCAGCCATCTTCATCAGTGTTCCACCACATTTTGCTAACAGGGAAAAAAATTAGAACAATGTAAAGTCTATATGTTGCATTTACTTGTGTTTGGATACTAGTTAAAATATAAAACATATCTAATGACATTTGGAAGCCTTTTTGCCTTGCTCACTTGCTAACAATACTTTCTGGGCACTTGAGCAGTTGCAGCAACTTTAGAAGATTTATATCACATGAGTAAGGCTCCATGCACAATAATAGCTAGCAAAAAACGCTGGATAAAAAAAGCTCAGTATTAGCTTTTTTTTCAATGTTTTTCTGTTTTTGTGAGGGTGTTTTGCTGGCATTTAGCAGTATATAGCTGGTTGTTAAGGAATGGGTTCCCCACTGACAGCTGAATGTAAACAAAAGAATTTCTGGCAATTAAACCTTAAAAAAAAAAAAACAGCATGGGGTCCCCCCAATCCATACCAGGCACTTAGGGCCTGGTATGGATTTTGAGGGGAACCCCATGCCAAATTGTTTTTAAAAATTGTGTGGGGTTCCCCCTCCCAAATCCATATCAGTCTTTTATCCGAGCAAGCGTGCCCCCTCCTGAACCATACCAGACCACATGCCCTCAACATGGGAGGTGCTTTGGAGTAGGGGGCTCCCCCTAAAGAAACTTGTCCCAATGTTGACAGGGACAGGGCCTCTTCCCCATAACACATGTTGGCATGGAATTCCCCTCAAATTCCATACCAGACATAAGGAAAAATTGCTAGAAACCAGCTCTTAGCATTGTTTAGCAGATTTTGTTACTGCCTGCAAATCATTCCCAAAAATGCAAAAAAAGAGTTTTTAAAAAAGCTTCAAAAACGCTTCTAGACTAAAATAATGTACATGAACACATAGGATAACACTATTTGCTTCCAGAGGCAGAAAAAAAGGCCCAAAAGCTTCTGCTTGGAGTGTTTTTTTAAGCTTGAGTGCATGGAGCTTAATAGATGACTGAAAGCAGAACTATGTGTGCTAAGTACAATTCCTTGTCATTGTTAATGACAATCCAACCAATACTGGTCTGACTTTAGAATGGTAATTGTGTTATAGTAGTTGACAAGGGTTGTTCATATAATGTATGTATTATTTTATTTAATGCTTTGCAGAGTATTTTGTGTGAATATCTAAATTACCACACTAAAAGTAATGAAAGATAACAAACATAAATGCTTACCAATGCAAAGGGGTGAAGGGAAATTCCAACGTCGTACTGTTCCAGGCATGCAGGAAATATGGGAATGCCCCTGTTAATTTAAAGAAGAAGTTTACTACAGCCTCATAGTCTCAAATGATCAGTATGGAGCAGGGGTGGACTGGCAACTCATTGGGCCCCTGGGCAATAGGGGATCATGGGGCCCCTGTGTCCTTGCCCAAACTCAAAAAAGCCTATGAAAAAGGTACCAGGGGCATCTGATGGGGCCCCCTACTGACCCCGAATCCTCGGGCAGTGCCCGAGTTTCCAAATGGTCAGTCCACCCCTGGTATGGAGTAATGAAATAAGAATGCATTTTTTTCCTTTTATCTTGTTTTGAATTAATTACAGTAAATGTTTAAACCAAAGCATATACAGGATAGGATATTAGGATGATAGCATGTTTACAAAACATTTTTAACAACAAATATTTAATATAAGAAGACTTACTAAGACGACCTACCTACCTGTAATGTGTAGCCAGGTTCACATTGAAAAGATACTACATCATTAACCATGTAGCGATCCCCATTTCTAATACCGTTCATTGGCACAAGTGGTTCTGGGCAGGCAGTAAGACCAACAGCTAGTGAAGACACAATAAATATAGCAAGAAATTAGCATGTACCTGAGGTTTATATTTTTTACTCAAAAACATATCAGTTTTCATACATGCAAGACTTTTGCAAACAATGGGCAAAGGTGAGATAAGGTTGACTCAACATAGGATCTATTTGTGCCCTGCTGTTTGACTGTTTTGGCAAAATGGGCAAAGGGGAGCAGCATATGGCACTTCAAATATTCAGTGAAATGTAAGAAAATTAAGTTGTTTTTTATTAAATAAAATATCTACTGTAGCTATACCTTTAAATATAGTTACTATGTCCTGCTTCTTGGGCATAATGAAAGAACACTGATCTCTTTACTCTAGATACTGTAAACATTTTAATGTATATGAGGTAATAGTACATATAATAAAACAATCCCTTAACACTCAAGTACAATAAATCACAGAGCCAAGCAGCTGGAGAACAGTGGGCATTTTTGTAGAATTTAATTTTCACAGATCATCAGGAAGCTTTCAGACTTTGCAGCCCTCATTGGACAGGGGGGTCCCAAACACTGCACAACAAAAAGGAAGAAGAATGCATCAGCAAATTATACTCACAAAGAGAAATGAGTGTAAGTCACATGACATGAACCAGATGGCGACTCCACCTGTAGCCTCAATTTGTAGCTCTAGATAAGAGCAATCAACACCCAATGTGCCTTACACTCATTTGGCTTTGTGAGTATGATTGTCTGTGTTAAGGACCTAGGCTGGTGGGTCCTTCTTCCTTTTGTTGTCCAGTATATGCAGTAATAGTTGAGGGTGAAAATACAAATCGATAAATGTATGTATAGGCAAATGCTAACATCACAACTGTGAATAAAGACAATACATTGATACTTTACTTCACAAACAAAATAATAGTTGATGTTTGTGAATGGTAGTAGTTGTCCACAAGGTTTTATACATTTTAAGTAATTTATAACTTTGCAAAGTGACCATTCACTTAGCCTAGTTAATACGTTGTTAACTTAAAGTGGAACTTTAGTCAGAAAATTAAGTCCTGCTGTCTTCAGGCTGTCCCTTTTTGCAGGTAAAGCTATGTAAAACATCAAGAATAAGTGTCTATTGTTTACAATCAATTAAAATGCACTGTACATGCTCAGTTGCTCTCTATTTCTAGGCACTGTGTTGAGTTTGTTTAGGCCAATCTGCTGATAGCCTAAAGTCTTACTGCTGTTCAGGGACACTGGGCTTCAGCAAAATGGCAGCCTCCAGAAAGAAGAAACAAGAGCAATCCTGAAGGAAATTTACAGCACACACTAATCTTGGTAGCATAATTATTAATGTAGAATGCATGTCCCTAACTAAAAACATTATCTTTTATCAAGTCGTTATGGGTAAAGTTCCACTTTAAATCATCCAATCACTTGCAAACAAAACTCCTGTTTTTTTAAGTATATATCTACCCAAACTTTTTTTTTTCTTTTAGGTTTTGATGGCCATAGCTGTGGTGTTATCATAATGAATCTGGATCAGATGGTCCTCCCACAGTAGAGAAGGGATAGAACTGATATTGGGTTTTACTGCTATCTGGGGCAGTATTAGAGAAGTTTACCTTCACTTCCTGTTTTGCTGACAATGTTTTGCCAGACATGAAGCAAGAGGAACTCTCAGCAGCAATGCAAGTAATAAAAATGCCTTTCTTTAGTAGAGTAGGGAAAGGCTAGAACCACTGTCAGATTTGTACTTTTGGCTTTTTCCCTGTTGCAAATCTTCCTTTGTTTCCTGTCTGATGAAACAGAAGCAGGACAGTAAGATAGGGTAAATCTCTCACACGAAGTCTCAGATAGCAGTAAAAACCTGACAGATGTTCAGATCATTTCCATCTCTATTCAAAAACAGAAAAATGTTTTTAACGTGATATACACTTTAAAGCTACTCTTTTGGGTTGCCCCTATAGACACACATCCTCTTCTCCCCACCCTGCTTTAGCTAATCACTATCCTGAGAAAAAAAAAAATCTAAATCTATGGTCCCCTGACATATAGTCCCAAATTTTGTCTAGTTTTGTGTACAGGAGGGGTATCCACATCACTGTCAATGTGATTTAAAAACTTCCTATAAGCTGTCCAGTGGTGGAGTCCCAATTAGGTCCAAAAGAGGACTACCACCAAAATGGGATTGACAGAGACAGGTACGTTTACAGTGCTGGATTACCAGTCACTTACACCTGATTTAGGAGAGTATATCCCTACTCCGGAGGGTAGGTTAAAAATACAAAAGCCTTAATGGGTAAAAGGGGTGGGAAGGATTTTTGTACAGCGATGGGCTTTACTTTCCTTTGCACATGACTGGGTATTCAAAGTGAGCCCAGCTTTACCTTATTGACCCAGCAATATGAATATCACTTTTCTGTTTGAATACTCTGTTTATGTAAATCAATGCTATTGTTTTACAGCCACCATTTTTACTTTGCCAGGGTACACTAAACCTTGCTTTAGGAAAGTAAAGAGGAAAACAATAACACAAAAAAATTAAAAGATATACAGTATAAACTTTGTTTCTTGAAGTACTGCTAAATCTATCCCTTTACATGCTGTACAAAGGTTTACAAAGAACTAACAGCTGTAAAACCCTTTTCATTTAAAAGGCTTAGTGCCCTTATATTCCTAGGTAATGCATCAGTCAAAATTAATTCAATCACACATTTTTTTGTGCGTGATTAGGGATTCTTTAGTGCTTTGTTTAAATTAACCTTGTAATATTCCAATAAAGATTTGCCTTCATACATGGTACTGTGATCAGCTTCATTGATGTGGGGCTATTGGGGTTAAGCATAGATTCCAAAACTGAATGCACAGATGAGTGAGCTCTGACTTACAATTCAGATGTACAAAAATGCTTTATTTTAGCCTCATTTAAATGGAAAAAAACTGCTATGTATATATTAGGGGGGAAAAAGCATAATTGACACATCATTGGTCTATACTATCATCTACTAGAGGCCCTCTGATCTGTGGAATATATATATATATATATATATATATATATATATATATATATATATACACATTCACATTACTTGTGATTGGTGGAATATTCTGCCCATATAGTGTGTGAAGAACTTGATATCAGTGTCAAAGATTTTGCTACACAATTAAAAGTCTCTGCAACTTGGTTTAAGACTATTCTACCTGACAAAAAAAAAAGATATATATATATATATATATATATATATATATGAATCTCAATATAACTGACAGCAATAACAACCTACCAGGGATTCTCCCTTCCCAACTCCATCAAAACTAAAAACAAAAATGAGAACAAATCACACTTTGCATGAGAGGGCAATCATGTGCAAGGAAAAGCTTTCCTTGCACAGTGAATAGCTTATTTGCCTTTAGTAAATCAGCCTTAAAGTCTAGCATTTTTCAACATGACCAAATCCTTATCACATACAATTCTGTACATCTTCCCTCCCATGTTCTAATGTGTGCTGCAAGCATATAGCATTGCTTAGAGAAAGAGTGGTGCAAGAATCAAGTAAGACCAGGTTCTCATTATCACAGACTCAGTTTCAGATCTATCACTGACATCTGCTATATAGGGATTTAACAGCTGGGTGTTACAGATAAATTCCAAAAAGAGAATTATAGTCATTACATAGGTATGTTGATTCCAATTAGTAAACTTAAGAAAGTGTAACCCTTTTCTCTACCAGTGACTTATGCCATATGTTGCCAGCAGAGGCAATGTTTACACATTGCGTGTAAATCTGAGAAACAAACTTTCAGCTTCACAGCTAGCTTATTGCTTTCACACACCCTGGTAAAGGTCATCCCTCCATTCATGTGCCCCCACCATGTTTCCCAGGCTATTCGTTCCCATCAGCAGACCCATGAATGACATGGCAATTGCCACCAGGTAGAGAGAAGAGAGATCAGCTAATATTCATTCACTGATCTCCCCTTCCTACAAAACCCCCAGAAGTAACATGAAAAATGTCACATCTGGGTCCAGCTGAACAGGGATCTGTGTTCCATAAGCTTCAATAGAGGGCATATGAGACATCAGATCCTGTCAGCAAGAAAATTACCACATAGGGGAATTTTTTATGATAAAAAATAAAGTTTAGTGTCAAAAAATAAAAATATTTGAGCCCACCTCAACAAACACACACATACATGCATGTACAAACGTGTCGGGGTGCCTACACATGGACGCATTGATTTTGCGACACATCACATATTACTATGCATGTAGTGAGAGAAATAATTTTACATTTTAATGCTAATGATTTTAAATCTGTTATTCATGGCTAACTCTAAAAGGATGACCTGTAGGTTGCTTATGGAAAATTTACAGTACCACAGTTTGTTATCATTCCACAAGCTCATGCAATTTTAAGACTTCATATGCATTATATTTACTCAGCACAGCCTCATCATTTATATTATACAAAAAAGCAATATATTTTGTTTGAGTGCCCTAAAATTAACTGTAGTGCATTTGTTACTGAAATTTTGTGACTGATAAATCATTGCGCTAATATCAGGTTACATAAAAAAATGGAAATTCCATTATTTTAATCTCCTGTTTGTCTGATTTCAGAAAATATATAATGTTTTGGGGGTTTTAAATAATCTTAAAGTCTAAAATAAATATATAATATTTGGTGGTTTTAAATAGTCTTGAAAAGCTTTTTTACACCTGATTGAAAAAAATGCAAAAGTTTCTGGCAGTGAAAAGGTTAAACTGCCAGTAAAAAAGGAGCCGGTTGGTTGTTAGTAACAAATCTTTATCTCAAACGATGTCAAATACTATGAACATGTATACTATATGGCAAGTTCCACTACATCACGCTTATTTCTGTTGTAATTCCTGATCCACAGACCACATAATTTGTTAGCTGATTGCAGGCATTCAGTGATTACTAAATAATATCTATTAATAGTACAATAACTTACATTAATGTATCATCCCAGAGTGTTTTTTTTTTTGCAAATGATATAGTATATGATAGATGGCATAGTACTGTATATACGTACAAATAACT